CAATTGAAAAATCGACGTTATTATTTGAGTTTCAAATTCGATAAGTGAAATATTAGGATATTGTTATGGAATTTTGCGTATGAATTAAAACTCCATAATAATGATTATTTTTTAAAGATAAAGCTGAAAAATGGCGAGTTAACGCTATTTCTACAACTTAAATTTCTTTACACTTTTGTCTGATATGTCGAATTTCAAATATTCAAACTTTTAAAATTCCACATCGATAACTATTTTTTCGAAAGATAAGGTAAAAGAAATAACAAGTAAATGCTATCCTTTTGTTTGATATTGTTTCCTATATATCAATCTCACCATGATTCTTGGTGATCAATTAAACGTTCAGAAAACAACCCTTAACTATAATTTACAAGGTCCTTCAGGATGACTCAGTTGGTATGAAGGGAGGTTATCCACACTGATGATCGTAATCAGTGACAAAGCTAGAATTTTTAATAAGGGTTTCGATATCTGAAGAACTAAACACACGAAACTAACCGAATGAGGTTCAACACCTATTATATATACATAAAAGATAACTTTTAACCATGTATAAATAATACAATTTTCAGCCGAAAGGGATTCGAATGAACCCTCTAGCAGAAGGCTGGCTGGCTCTGCCCCTGACCGTGTTTTATCCCTCTCTATGCCTTATAAGTCGATCATGTCGCATAGGGCTTGCTAGTGCGGTTTACATTCCTTGTGTGGTTTACAAGCTATTACACAATAGGAATTTTACCCAGTGCGCACAATGTGCTCACCATAGAGTGCTCACCCGAAAGGTAGAGGTTGTGGCAGAGGTTGTACACTACAACAAAATTAACTTTTAGCGGCATTAAATATTGACATTAATAAAGAGTGCTAAAGTCTTTACCGACATTAGTTAGTGTCATTAGAACCAATGTCGCTAAAGGCTTTATGGACATATACAAAGAGTGACAAGTGCCGCTAAAAATTCATATTTAGTGGCAATTAAGAATTAAATGCCGCTAATGGTCATTTTTGTTGTAGTGATAGCAGTTGCGGGTTATCCCAGGTTTAAAAAAACAATAATTTACAAGAGATACTCAATTTGAAGAGTGTTATTTTTTTTTAACTATGACAAGGATTGCGGAATCACTATTCTTCATGTACGTGTACATAGGATGAATTTTACTCTAGTGTAATGGCCTGCAAACCATACGGGAGAAGAGGGAGAATTCAATATTGAAATTTTATCAACAATAATATTTGTCCTAAACTAAAAAATTGGATGCTCTTAAATCAAAAGTGACATCATATATATTTGACCACACAATTTATTGTAGTAAAAAAAAATAATAATACCATTAGAGCCTGTTTGGCTCAGCTTAAAAGCTGGTTTTTGACTTATTTAGCTGTTTGGCAATACTCAAAACAACTTATTTTAAGTTAAAAAAAACTTATTTTAAGCCAAAAATTAAAAGTTGGGGTAGGGGTGCTTTTTTTTTTAGCTTATAAGCTGTTTTAAGTTGACCACATTTTTATCTTTTTGTGCTTAATATTTTTATACAATCTCCAAATTACCCATATAACCCTAACATTTCTTTCTTCCATTTTTCCCTTTTCACGTTTGACATAACAACTTCAGCACTTTTATCCAAACGCATAACTGCTTATTTTAAAAATAAGTTTCAGCACTTTTAAAAGTACCTTTTTAAAGCTGCTGTTATTAAGCTCATCCAAACGGACCCTTACTCTATTTTTAGTTTCTTTAAGCTTGATTCATAGAATATGCTTCTATTTGATTACATATTTTATTACTTTGAGTTTTTTTTTTTTTTAAAATAATGATAATCAACAAGGATCTTTAAATTAAATATCCTGTCAATTTCACAAAAAGTTGTAGTTTGTCCTGATAAGCAATAACATTATTGTATGTAGATTTTAATTTTAGTCAACTTTAATTTATTAAAATCAGAAGATGATGCTATGGAAGTTCATAGTAAAAATTAAATCTGATATGATTATTGACCACTAGCATTTTTAATTTTCCTTTTTTTGATGTGGTCATCAATGAAAATTCAGAAAAAACCTACCTCACTAATTAGCCAGTAGAAAGAATATGAAACTTTTAAAACTTATCGATGCGGAAATAAAGTTGAGATAGTTCGAACAAGTGAAGAAGAGATGAACAGAGGTCGACTATGAATAGGTTCAAAAGAGATAGAGGTAAGCTGATCGAGGAAGTATTAGGAAGAAGTGATTAGGCAAGACATTACGCAACTTCGATTGACCGAGGACTTGTCCTTAAATAAGAGGTTATAGAAGGTTAATTAAGTAGTTGAGTATTTTCCTAGTTATCATTCCTTAGTAGCAGTTGTCGTATTACAATCTGACAATATTCGATCCCTATTATTCTCTTCGTTTCAAAAAGAATGATCTCCTTTCCCTTTTAGTCTGTTTCGAAAAGAATGATTTCTTTCTTATTTTGGTAACACTGATCAAAGAACAATTTTGTACATTTGACCTAACTTTAATTTCTGACCGCAAGATTCAAAAGTCTTCTTTATATTCTTAAACTCCGTACCTAGTCAAACCATGTCATTCTTTGTGAAAAAGAATGAATACTATTTTTTTTATTTTTTATACTTTGAATATCATGTTATTTTGTAATAGTTGGTTCCCCTGTAAGAATGCTTTGACATGCTTTTTTAATTTTCGTGACTTCTTCATTTCCGTCGCATTGAAGTACTTTTACTTGAGTCCTGAGCTCTTTCAGAAATAACCCCTTAATCTCAAAATGAAGTCGATCTAAGAAGAATAAGAATGTAATGCAAACCTTTCCCTACCTCATTAGGTACAACGATCGTTTTCGATAAAATCCTCACCTTATAATTACCAAAATTAATAAGTTGTCATTTAAAAGAAAAAATTATCAAATTTTATATAAAAAATTTTGAAAAACCCTCCAAATATTGAATAATATTAATTTTTTAATTTTTTTTTTTTTTGTGAAATAGTCTTTAGCTATTACCCTCTAGCCGGCCAAGCTAGCCGGCCTTCCTAATATCTATATATATTCATGCAAATATCCCTCTTGAAATAATTCAATACAAATTATAAATTCAAAAGAAAAAAAAAAGTCACAATTTATTTTTAATCAAAATTTCCTATATATCTACAACACCAACATATCTCGTATAATTCCAGACGTGAAGATCTGGAAAGGGTGGTGTGTATGTATTACGTAGTTTTATCCCCTATCTTGTGAAGGTACAAACCGTACAGAAAGATAGTTTCCTGTAAACGAAAAAAAATGATATCTACAACAAAACCAACATATCTCGTATAATTCCAGACGTGAAGATCTGGAAAGGGTGGTGTGTACGTATTACGTAGTTTTATCCCTATCTTGTGAAGGTACAGACTGTACGGAGAGATTAGTTTTCGATAGACGAAAAAAAAATGAGGCAAGCAGGGGCATATTCAGGAATTCTTTCAAGAAAAACAGGTCCACATTCATTGCCACTAGCAAGAATCAAGAAAATAATGAAGAAATCAAGTGATGATGTGAAAATGATTTCTGGTGAAGCTCCAATTGTTTTTTCTAAGGCATGTGAATTATTTATTGAAGAATTAACAAAAAGGGCATGGATTATTATGACAAATAATAATATGCATGAAAAAAGAAGAAGTACACTTCAAAAAGATGATGTTGCATCTGCTATTATAGCAACTGATGTTTTTGATTTTCTTGTTAATTTGGTTAGTAATACTACTCATGATCATAATAATTGTGAAGAGTTGAATGATGAAGAGTCTCGTCAAGATAGCCCGTAAAGATCTATATTGTTCAGACTTTTTAAAAATATCGACTTGTGTATGTGTCAGATTTTCAAAAAAAAGTACGTGATATATAATGGTACGACAACATTTTAAGAGTGTTTAAAGCAATATAGGTAAAGATGGGCTATATATGTTTGATTAAGTTAAAGTTCATGTGTGTCCAATTAACACAAATGTGTACCTATCATGTATCGAATTCTTTTTCATTTTATATGACACTATGTTTTTTGTTTCGGAAAAATTACTCTGTAATAGTTTAAATTTGAAAAAAAAGTTTGATTCGTAAATGATAAATATGAGTTGAATGAGGATTTTCATCTGGAGAAATAGAGTGTAGGACATACATATAATTAAATTAGCTTATGCTGTTCAGACTTTTCAAAAAATATTAACTGAATATGCTTTGACAGTGTGACAAATGTAGGTCTAATCTAGTATCTTGTACCAATATTTTTCAATTTTATGTGAAAGTCGAAACTATTTTCTTATGCTGTGACATATTTAAGAATACAAATTATTTCGAGGCATATTTAGGACTCGCAAATTTTAAAATCCTATTTCATTTCTTAAAAACTTGATTTAACAAATTAGATAAAATAATTATATTAAAAATTTGGTATAAAATAAAACAAATAGGTTTCGTGGTGTAGTTGGTTATCACGTCAGTCTAACACACTGAAGGTCTCCGGTTTGAGTCCGGGCGAAGCCATTCTCTTCTTTTTTTGATCTTTTTTGTTTCCCGTCGAGATCCGTGTGTTTGAATTCGAGACCTTTAGTTTTGGAATAAGGCTTTCCGTGTTTTCAGTGTTTGAATTCGAGACCTTTAGTTTTAAAAAAAGGCTTATAGAATGGGGGAACCATTCCCTTACCGCGTTTCAGTGTTTGAACTCGAGACCTTTCCTTGTGGTAGAATTCAAGACCTTTAGTTTTAGAATAGATAAGAAGTACATAACATAATCGTTCGTAACCAAAGTCAAATCTCTTTATAACAGTGTCTGTTGATCGGATACTTTTCAACGGTTAAAGCAAAAATATAACAATAGAGAACATAAATATAACGTAATTGATTCCACAAGAAACTTTTGAACATTATAACTAAACTATTTTGAACAACCTATAATCACAATATACTAAAAGCGAGAAGCTCCTAACATTAAAGTTAAAAGAATATTAAAATATCCGCAATACCAATATCCACTAGAAAATATACATTCTAATACATACAACAACAACATACTCCGTATAATCCTACAAAAGATAGAGTATACCCTTTACCTTGAGAGGTAATGAAGTTGTTTCTGATAGATACAAATAAAGCTATAAGCATTATAAGAATTATGTTGCTCGGACTATCAAAAAATTATTGCTGCAATCCGTTTTGGATTATTCAAAATTGCATTATCAAATACCAGATGAAAACACAATTGCATGAACAATGCATCAACATGAACCTGCACAATGCACATAGTAAATTTTACAGACAATTCATATAGTCGACCGCGAACTTGTTTGATATTGAAGCGTAATCGATTGATGTTTAAGCGTATTACATCGATGCTTAAACATAAAACACTTACTAGCCAGTAAATAAGCTCCTAACTTATTGATATCAAAGGCAAAACAATAAAATTAATACCATTTTCGTTCAAAATAGAACGCGGTTTAGGTCATTTCTTTTCTCCGTTTCTGCTGTTCTAACGTCCGACTTTGCTAATTCGGTATCAGACCCTTACCATCCGTTCGTTGTCTCCACGGGAAGATCTATCACTCTCTTCGTATTGTTTATTATTACGCTTTGATTGGTTATTCAACTTTGTTTGTACAAGATTGAATTGCAGATTTCATTTCCTCTTTACTCAATGATGTCTCCACTATAACCTGCACAAAACAATGTCCAAATAGCATCAATTAGTATTGCTATGTAAAATACTTAGATACATCTCCGGTTGCTTAGTACTAAGGCGGAATACATCGACAACTCCTTAAATTTTCCTACTTAATATGCGCTTGAGAACATGCGTAGAAACTTCCTCAGAACTTGAAGCGGAAGTATCTAATAAGAACATTTTATCATGTGTTCATGTGATCAATCATCACAAACCACAGTTCGAGTATCTAAATAAAGTTACAACGGGTAAGTTATAGCCAGGTATAGGTAAACATTGACGTTGTTACAGACGTTCAACTAGCATTGAGTGGTCCGAGTTTCTTGATACCGCAAAGATATCATATTGATGGTGAAGTTTGTATGGATCACCTAAATCAGTGTCCAAATTTACCTCAATCTATCATCTAATACATAATTTCCCGGATCTAGGTATCACATTGAAAATGTTTAACCCCTCCGCTCCAAATATTTAACAAGAAAAACCAACATAATCGAGAAAGAAGAAAAGGATTTTCTCTCTTCTTTTTCCAGGATTTAGTGATACGTCAACCACCACCGATATCACCAGTAATCTGTACCAGAAATTCCTTGAGAAGTTCATGACTAATTGAGCTCGATTACAGCTCAATATAACCTGTCTTTTCTTTCTTCATAATTCTTCAATATCAATGGTCTCCACTCTCCAACTACGTCTAATTGTAGTGTTTTTTTAAAAAAATTAATCATCAATATCCGCACCCGTTTGCGTTCCCCTCAACTAATTCTATGGATAGCTGCTATCTCCCACTAGCACTAGTACATGGTAACTCTATCCACTGAGGCTTGGACAAATACGGGAAAGAAATCATTCAGCATTTTTGCATCCATTTGGATCTCAACCTTCATTGACCACTTGGTGTTAGATTATAGAATTTCATTCTCGCGAAAAGGTGATAATTAAGTTACTCAAGAAGTTTGTCAGACTATAACACATCAAGCATTTTGGACTTCCGGAAATCATAGAAGCTTCAACTAAATACTGGATTGATATGAACAGGAAAATAAAACATTTTAATCATGATTTAACCACACCGCTTTCAAAACTGCAACTTTGCCCTTCATTTGCAGAAACAGCACTAACAGATATAAAATTATGACAAAACAATAGGGTAAATAAGGACGAGTTTAAAATTTTACCTCTTGTACTCTATTTCCCGACCGCGCAAGTAACTTGTATTGATTCTCAAACATGGATGCCATATAAACCTGATAGAAAATCAGTGATTAAAATCTTCCAAAAAACAATAAAGTCGGCAATCTACAGTTGAATGCACTATCTTTTACATGCTTTGAGTGTGAACCTATCAACCTAATGCATTGCTGTAAGTATTGCGCCTAAAAGAGTGCCATAAAATTAAATTTTAACTAGCAAAAGAGAATGTTATGCGGAAAGAAGGTTTTCACTCATTCTATGTGATAACAATCTCAGAAAAAGCTACGACTCGTGCTTAGGCAAATGAAAGGAGGTGATGCATTTTTACAATCTCATAAATAGCTTGTACAAAGGCCACACTAAAACTACTTCCCGTAACTACAAAATACACGCCCTGCAAATTGTTCTTGGTTGTTTAGCAGTGAGTGAACTAGTCAATTTTTTAGTTTCCATATCTTTTAGTTATATTGCTTATGTTTTATGTAAGGTGGTACCTGAAATGTTGGAGCCAAACCAGGGCTCAAGAAGTACCGCCCTTTTGATACAGAGGAGATGCCCTCAAACTGCTTTAATTCTTTGATAAGAGATTCCACGTCAGGCCACTGCACAACATTGCGTGAAAATTCTACTATGAGCCATGGACAAACACAATTGTATATTACAATAGAAGATGGGATTCATTAATAATTTTATATTTTTGTACTTCAAGAAAACGCCCTACAATTGATTTGAGCTGTAAAGGTTTATAGTATATCGGGAAGCACAAAGGACAGCTGGATGGTCTATAGACACATTGAGAACTGAGGAGCTTCGGATTTTTCCCCTTACTAAACCAAAACAAAGCTTCGGGTGCTTGTGTCAAGCTTTTGAAATGTATTTTTAACATATTCACAAGATATTTACAATCAGCAGTAGATTCAAGCTATATTGCTCGGATTCTTCAAAAATGCTATCAGGTGCGAGGTCAGATCCTCCAGAAGTAGTGCATTTTTGAAGGATCTAACATGGGTGCGGGAACATATTTGGAGAGTCCAAGCAACATATTCAAGATATTGACTCAATTTCAACCCCACCCCCCCATTTGACACCCTTACATCTCTGCAGTCTTTAAGGAGAACTGACCTCAACACAAGCCATATTAGGATACATGGAGCACCTAATAATTCATTAATACAGAAGAAAAGGCTTAATACAAAAACATAAACTCAAATTTGGCCTCAATCGGCAAGTAAGCAGTTCAACTTTGAAAGTGCACATTTAGACACCTCAACTTGGTTTCAACTGGCAACTAAACACTCCAACTCGTCCCTACAGTGTCTCTTGGACACCCGAAGCTGCCATGAAACATAAAATTTGGAGGTATGAAAAAGAACATTTTGTGAATTGGAATGTTCAACTAACACAATTGAGGTGTCTAGATGTGCTCAAACTTGGAGTGTTTATTTGTCAATTGAGGCCAAGTTAAATTATCTATTTAGGTATTATGCGTAAAGAAAAGGACTCAAGAAAATGCATTGAATTCTTTATACAGTACATCGTTTAAACCCAAAAGAATTCTATTAAGAAACACCTCTTAACTGCCGTCAATGAAGACCCTGACGTGACACATAAATATTGGAGGTGTGAAGATCATTTTGTAAGTTGGAGTGTTCAACCGGACACAATGGAGACATATTGAGGTGTCTAGATGTGCTCAAAGTTGGCGTGTTTAGTTGTCAATTGAGGCCAAGTTAAAGTATCAATCTATGTATCATGCCTAAAGAAAAGGCCCCAAGAAAATGCAGCAAATTTTTTATGCAGTACATCGTTTAAACCCGAATGAATTCTATTAAGAAACATCCTCCTAACTGCAATCAATGAAGACCCTAACCAAATGCTAAAATGATACTCCAGTTGTTGAGTTATGAACCACTGGCCAGTAGAATAGGGATAGCAAATGCTCCCTTGTTCGTAAAAATGACGTAAAGAAATCAATTTGCAACAAATGTAAGGAATCATGACATAAGTATCAACAAATACTACATGAGTTATTTATGCAATTAATTGCTGAGATGATAAAATTTAAGTATTCTTTTAACTGAAATTGAGGACAACCATGACGTACTGATCTAAGGTGTCTTTGGTATATTGAATCAAGTTCTAAAGGAATAAAACTACACAATTATAAGGGTGAGAACATAAACCTCAGTATCCAGCTCTGATGCTTGGAGTTCTCCATTCAAATTATCAGGATCACCAACTACAGCCTCTAAGGCCTCCATCATGGGATCTGGCTGCAGAAAGTACTTATAAAGGCATTGGTTAATAACAAGTTTACCTTACAATATCAGGAAAAAAGAAACAGATAGTACCGTTATTTCCTTAACAACAACATACACAGTGTAATCGCACAAGCAGTGTCTGGTGAGGGTAGGATGTACGCTGACCTTACCCCTACCTTTGTGGGGTAGAGAGGCTGTTTCTGACCCTCAGCTCAAAAGGAATGTTCTTGTACCACGATGGAAAGAAATTTACCGTTATTTCCTTCAATGACAAGAAGATGCGCTCAAGTGAAAAGTCTAACTGGTGAACTTTTGCCTCCACAATCTACATGGAAAACCTTCTTCAGAAACTAAGATATCTCTGAAATAGTTAGCTCTGAAATTAGCAGAGAATGTATTATGCGCTTAACCTCCAATACATTCACATGAACAACATATTCAACAAACTCTGAGCCAGCATGGATATATCATAACTCAAAACACTATACTTGTCTATAAGGATCAGTTAAATTTCATTTCACCTTTACATCAGAAGGTATGAATTACAAATTTGTTATGCATATTTATAGAGAAGCAACTACCTGGCCAATTTTAAAATACGACGCAGGGTCTAAAGTGGCATCCCATGAGACTTCTGTCTGGTGAATTAGCGCAAGTACTCCTTCAACCTATACTCAAATGTTGCTAATTTAAGATGCAATCAATAGTTGATTGGATTTACTGCCATAAGAAGCTCATGCTACTGTCATTGATATACCTCGACAAATATACCGAAATAGGTAATTTTTTGTATACAGCATTTTACCACGTCCCCAACCTGAAGTTTTGCCTGCAATGCCAATTACACAAGCTCAGTGACTTCATTGTGGGAGCAAAGATTCAGAATAACTAACACTGAGAGGTAGCATACAGTAATATCCAAAATACATTGGTAATAATGCATATATTCCAGCTTCTTTCCAAACCCAAACAACAAGTCCCTTATTTTGGGAGCTGCGAGGAAGGGGATGTGTTTTCAGTGTCCAACGTTATTTCAAAAGTGGAAGATGTTGATATCCCATATCTAACATAGATTGACAAAGAAAGTCTCCATAACTTGTTATATATCAAAATTTCACCGGGATTACAGGAAAGGCATATAAAGCACACTGATAAAGTGTCTAAATCCATACACAATAACCTATTAAGCAGCAACCACGAGTGTTCACGATTCCTGATGAAGAGCCACATGAAAATTAAAGCAGAGAGCAGGGGCAGCATGCCGCAGCAAAAAGAGCAAGGTAGCATTTGAAATAATAAATATGAACTCCAAAACCACTGCATCAGAAGATCAACTAGGTGTGTCCTAGATTTGACATTTTACAGAATCTTCTTCAAGGTGCTGGGTTTCGGAATATTTCACAGACTATCTCTAGATTAAAAGTTGCACAAGTTAAAGAAAATCAATAACTCGACAAATTATAGTGACCTACAGTAATTGTTAAGTTGCAGAAAAATGACCCAAGTAAACGTTTCAAAGTTGTGTTTTATAAAGTAACAATGGTTTATTGTCCAAGAGATATACTACAAGTGTTTGGTGAAACATGGCAGCATAACCACAAAAATTCACAGCGCTACACCTTACTCAACGTGAACATTAAAGAACAAACAACTTGCTGCATCATTTATGTTTCCAATCAAGTAACATGCATCCGATCAACATATTTATGTACTCCTAGTTTTATATGGAAAAAGCTCTACCATAACATGTGCGTTTGTTCAACCAATACCTAATTGCTATTTTCTAGAATTGCTCTAAGCTAATTTACAAGAGAAAGAAAAAAACTAGCCTTTCATCAGTAAACATCTCTTTCTGTTAAAGGACTAGGCAACCAGAAATATTGAAGAGAATGACAGAGTATTAACTAAGAAACTTGTTTTTGTCACCGCTCTATTATCTTATTAACAGTGAGACTGCTTATATTGTTCTACAAGGATTCCTATCTATTTACTAATATAGAACAAGGAGAAAGAAGTTAGGTTGGATATCTTGCAGTCAGTTACAATAATCATGATCAGTTTAACATAGAAAACCAAATACCAAATTTCATAGAGGCTAGGATGTTTGTGAGATGGTCAGTTTGATAAACATTAAGCAAAAAAATTGCAAGCTTTAGAGAATATAATTTTCTAACCATAAGGCTCTTCTTCTTCTCGACCAATTCTTCCTTTTCTTTTGCCTTTAACGAGAATATTAGCCTTCTGGAATATCTGTCAGCCAACACCACACTTACTCTGATCCTCTACATGACACAGATAAAAAATTATGGTCTTTCTCAAAGTTCTAAGATTGAGATTGAATAACGAAGCCTTCCTCACCAGACCAACAAATGATGATAAGAACTGGAGTTTCTCTTGGTCATAAATCCTGAGAAGATCTTCAAGTTTCATATCTGGCGAGATCTCCTCATCGGCATTTTTAGCAATTTGCGGATCTACTCCTGCCTCAGGAGAAGCTGCCTTGCCAAAACCATCATAGCCTCCAATGATCCCCAGACCTTGCTTGTATTGGGATGGATCCAAACCTTTTTGCCTCAACCAAGATTCAAAAGCTAAGAATTTCCACCTGGCTGCAAGATTGCGATATGGCAAAAATCCTATCAAGGAACCAAAAGATACCTGTAAAAACATCGAGAGTATCTGTAAAAAACAAGTTGAGAGAATATGTGCACCTTCAAAAACAAAAATGAAGTAATATGATGAGTTGGGGTATAAGTAGACTTACAACAAAGCCTCTGGTGCTACAGCTGACTAGTTCCACGTCTTCTCTTCCTCCGCTCTTGACAAGCTCTTCAGCTCTTACCCAGTCATTGTCTTCATGTTCCTACGAGATTGCAGCACTCAGTATTCATCAATAAGTCGTCCTAGTTAAGGAACGAATGCTGAAAAAAGGAAAAAATTAATCTACCTTAATGGATGATTTTGCCAGGAAGTTTTCAATCTCTGAAGCATTTCCATAGCCCTCAGATTTGACAGGACGCATATCCTCCTGACTAACACGTGATGCTTCCTTTTTAGGTCGGTCTAATCTATAGTAGCACAAGTTATTAATCAAGAACAAAATAACAGCAAAGTATATAAGGGCAAAACAACATCCACAAGTACCTTTTCGGTTTTCCAAGAAGAGCAGCATCCAAAGATTCCATGGGTCCAGTTTCAGCAGGTGTATTGGAATCAGAACTTCTCTCAGCGGGCTGTGTATCAGTCTGCTGGAATCCTTGAAAAACAACCAAGTATGCTGATTAAGATGCTAAATTACTACTCAGATGACTATCTGTCAAGAACAGAATCTTGTTACCTGTACCAAAGCCTTGCTTCTCAAGAGGATTGCTTCTGTTAGATTGTAACGGTTGGCGGAGTTTACTCTCTGCCATACTTATAAGCTCAGAAGAAGAGTTAGCAGCATCGAAAGTACTTTCATCCGAAATACTCGGATGCTGAACCTCGGAAGATTCTTTATTTGGATCTATCTTTAGATTTAAATTACTAGGCTCTGGCTTATTTAGAAGCAAGCTGTTTTTGGGTTCACTACTTGATGCGTACACCTCTGTAAGACTAGCATCTTCGGAGTCATCACTAGATACAGGCAAGACATCGCTTGATTGTCCATTCTTTTCACTATCATCGGAGCTGATCCTCATTGGTTCTGGCTTCTTCAACAATGTAGCATCACTAGACTTATCACTTGATTGTCCATTCTTTTCACTATCGTCGGAGCTGATCCTCATTGGTTCCGGCTTCTTCAACAATGTAACATCACTAAACTTCTCAGGTTTCAGTTCTCTGCCCATTTTCAGTGTCAAGTTTGGCTTAATTTTGAATTTTGATGATTCATCCTCCTCAGAATACAAACTTGGCTTTCGCAGTATGACATTTGGAACACTACTTTTTCTACTTACTTCAGGTCTTGAAATTGGTTGACTTTGTTTATAGCCCTCAGTCTTTGGCTGTTTTTCATCAACCTCGAACTTAACACCCTTCTTGGGCACAGGGCGAACCAAATTTAATCCATTTGATGAATTGAGAGATTTCTTTTGCTTGGATGCATCAAACGGAACCTCCACAGTTTCACCAGACGTTTTTCCCTTCTTCTGCTCAAATGACTCTTCAATTTCAAGATAAGATGTCTCCGGGTTTGTTTTCCTACTAATTATCTATGAAATCAAGAATCACAATCAGAAATAGACAGATGCAGTATGCATTGAACCAACAGAAGTTTTGCAAGGACATACAGGAACCAATCTAAAAACTTCTTTCAAATTATTATTAACCCTTTTCTCCTCTTCAATGACAAATAACTCTAAGCAATTAGCAAACAGGAACTTACAATAGTAAAGCAGGGACGTGTAACTTTGGAACGAAAGACTGAAATTTTAAGGAATTGAAGTTAAACATAAAGTCAATACTAAGAAACTGATAGCATGTCAGCAGATATCAACTTACAATATATGATTGTACAATTCCAGATGCAGGATTGATTTTTTTTCCCTTTAATAACCCTCATTTTTCTGTTAACCAAAGCAAAGTATAAAACTTTCGAGGGCTAGAACTCTCCATTCTCACCAACAGGGAGGAAAATCACTCAAACTTGAATTGCATTGATTTCGGGAAGTCTCTTTTATCCATACTTTCAACCATGTCTCAATCCTAACTAGTTTTTGAGTTGGTTATATATATCATACAACTCAAATTCGAATTGTATTGATTCAAAATCTTCTTTACTATCTATACTATCAACTACGTCTCAATCCTGAACAATTCTTTGCAACCGCTATATAAAACGTACAATTCAGATTTAAATTGCATTGTTTCGAAAAGTCTCTTGACTATACACACATCAACTATGTCTCAATTCTAGATGCAGATGTAGTTCTCTTTTCCTCTAGAATCCTCATTGTGTTGGTAAACAAAATCAAAGTTTAAAACTTTAGAGGGGATAAAACTCCCCATTCTCAATACACAAGTAGAAAAGCCACTGAACTCCTCAAAATTGAAGTTTGAAATTATTCAAAAAGTCTCTTAACTATCCACTACCAACTGTATATCAGCAATATGAATCCTACATATCCCCTCACCCACAAGTTAATTGACACTATTTCCTTATCAGTCTGTTCCAAAACGACGGACAGATTTCTATATATGAAATCAATAATGACAAGCTTTCTATAGTCATACAAATGATATGACATGTTATAGCCACGCAATGTCACATAAATTGGAACAGAGTGAGTAACTAATCTCTTAACTATGCAAATAAAAATTTAAAAACCAATTAAGAACATGATTTTCTGAATAAATAAGGAAAAATATAAACATATTAGTGCAAGTTTAAAATGAGAGAAATAAACCTTAGCTAAGGTAAGTTTTGGGTCTTCACCAATTAATCTGCCAAACTTGAGTTCCATTTGGTCCCACTGGTCAAGCTTATTACTATTCCTATCATCTTTAGAAGCAAAAACAACAAATTTCTTTGTCTTTCTGGAGGAAAAAACAGTTCTTGACAAAACCCCGCTTGTTATTGAGCTAAAATTATCATCTTTAGAGGCAAAAACAGCAACTTTTTTGGAGGAAAAATGTGTTCTTGACAAAACCCCACTTGCTACTGGACTTGAATTGTCATCTTTATCAGCAAAAACAGTTACTTTTTTGTAGGAAAAATGAGTTTTTGACAGAAACCCACTAGTTATTGAGGCTGAATTATCATTTTTATCAGCAAAAACAAGAACTTTTCTGGGTAAACAAAGGGATTTTGAGATTCTTGAATGGTGTAAAGATGAAATTGACAACAAGGGGTTGGGTGTTGAGGTTTTGTCAAGGCTAAGGTTGTTCATTCTTGAAAAAACAAAGTGAATTTCATCAGATAATATTGAACAGCATTGAAAAATTTATATATGGGCACCTCAAAATTCCAATTTATCCTCTCTTAAGAGTTATTTGAAATTGAGATAGTGAGAGTTTTACAATTGGTGGTGTAGGGGTAAAGGGGTGTCACGTGATTAGCACATGATGTTGTATAATGTGGTTTTAAATCTCTTAAACACTCGGTGATTCTCGAGAATTCAATAACTTTTGTGCATATCATGTAATATATATAATAAGAAATTCAATAAATATATATACATTTTTCACTAGTGGTGTTAGGTTTGAGTTTCGAAAAATCAGAATCTTATCGTAGGAGGGTGGATCTCACGAATCAAATGAAGGTCGAAGAATTTATTATCAACGGCATAGGCGACACCCTAGCCCGACGCCATTGTTGGTAGAACTGTGACTCTTATTTCGGTCCAATTCCTTATTTGACTAGCAATGTCGGTAGGTTCGAATTTTGAAAAATAAAGAACTTTTCAATAGAACGGCGAGTCTCACAAGATTTATGTTGGTCCATGGAATCAAACGAAGGTCGAAGGACCGTTCAATTACGGCATATTCAACACTCATGTTTGCATGGATTGTGACTCGTCTCCTCGCAATCCGATTCCTTATTTGATTAGCGATGTCAAGTACAAGTTTTGAGAATTAAGAACCTCTCAATAGGAGCCTTTGTCTCACAAGATCTATGTTGGTCCAGTCAAGCGATGGTCGAAAAATCATTCGATTCATTCAGGAGCATCGTAGCGCCTTCACCTACGAATGTCGCTCTCGATAGGATTGTAACTCTCATCTCAATCCAATTTCTTACAACTTGAACCTTAAAACTCATTATATGCCAAGTATTTTACGTACGTACCTCTTTAGTATCTTATCGACCTATCTATCAGTACTTGACACAAACATGCCATATGATTAAACCAAAAGAAGAAGAAAAAAAGTAAGAGAACAATGTGTTAATTTCTTATTAAAGCAAAATTGAGGGGAAAAAAAAACATTACAAATATATATGATGCCTTACTAGGCTTTTACAAAATTTTCAAATGAAGAAACAAATAATTAAGAAAACCAATTAATCATCACTTCATCATTACCATATTCTCTCATCAAGAATATGATTAATCTCATTGACAAATAATAATAATATTAACTATATATATATATTTTTTGATTTCTCATCCGATCCGATGCCCTCGATATCGATTAAATATGAATTCGTATCGAAAAGTGAATGGACTAATCTTGAGTCTCTTCAACAGGAGGCTGTGGTGGCTCATCAACATCAGTAGTTGTAGTAGTTGAACCTTCTTCATGTTCATCAGCACTATGATTTTTTTTATTTGTAGCTGTTGTAAGATGATTATAGGAACCTTTTTCTTTAAACAATTGAGAGAAATGAGGCTTGCAATAAACAAGTCCATCTAATGCTGCATATGATGAGGTGGTTAGTTTGCATCCACCATGTGCACATTTGAAGCATGATTGATGGTAAAATTCTCCATCTACTGTTACCTGTTCGGAATTTTCAAAAATGTTAATACATTTGTGTTACACTTTCCAAAAAAGTATACTACTTTTGAATGATTTCATGACATATAGGTTAGGTGAAATATTTTTTTTCGGAATTTTCAAATATGTTAGTACATTTATGTTAGATTTTCCAAAAAAAATATACTACTTTTGAGTGATTTCTTGTCATATAGGTGTCATATTTTTTGAAGCGTCTAAGCAACCTAAGAAATATCATTAGAGTATCTAATTAAATGTTATAAGGATGACACAATCTATATATGTTGCTCGAATTTTTAAAAAAATATTGAAACACTTCTATAAGATTCTCAAAAGTTTCTGAGTTATCTATTAAATATTAAGCTTGTGAAAAATGAAATAATTGAAGCTCTATTCTTTCATACTTTAAGTATACAATAATTATTACTTTAAGGGCTAATATACCATAAAGACTAATTTAAAATTTGAACTTTTTCAGGTTCGAGTTTATTGTTCTTGAATAATTTATGTGATTTTGTATAAAATAATTTTACTAATTTGTTGGAACTTTCCAGATATGTTTAGAATTTCAGCTAAAATTAATGGAGTCAAAACAAATTTTATACATATAAGGAAGAAGCAAAGTGTTGGTACATAGCTTTAATGAGCCTATTTGACATAAATTTAGATTAATCGAGCCAGTAATCAATACCTCATACTAGATGGTTAATAATACTCTCAATATTAAGTTATATGTCCTCCCGGATGAAACATATCTTATATATATATATATATATATATATTGATTGAGTAGGTCTAGGTCCAACAATCGAATCAATTACGAGTCATCTATTATTTAAACTTAATTAGTGTTAGAACATTACACAACATAACTAAATACCTTTTAAAAAATTCTTTTACCTTTTCCAATGGGTACACAGTTTTCTTGCATGATGCACATTTTTCCTGAGTGCCACAAAATAGAGAGGACAACTTGCTAGGGCTTCTGTTCTGTAATCACAAAAATATTCAAAATATTATTTATAATTAGTAACAATTTAATAAAAACATAAAAGGGATATAAGTTAAAATATTGTTGATATATTACAACAAAATTATCATCTCCGCATAATTATTTAATAAAGTAAAAACATTCAAGAGTATAATTCAGAAATTAAAGTTTATTAGTTTCCACCTCGAATTAATATATACATAATAATGACTGGTTTACATACAAATATTTATATATATTTAGTGGATTTTTTTTATATCAATATAGAGTTAAAAGGCTAGATTCTGAAAGGTATTTCAATTTACGTGACATTATTTCTGTATTTTAATCCATTCAAAAAAGAACAACATATATTTAAAAATAATGAACTTTAAATTTATTATTTTACTTTTAATGAAAAACGTTATAATCGCATGATAAGTTTAAAATCTTAAGATTAAAAGTATAAGCATATTTAATTTCACAACTCCACAAATTTTAAACCTTTTTTATTTTTCTTAAAATTACTTTTCATTTTAATTATGTCATATAAACCGGACAGAACAAAATTTTTTTTAAAAAGCTCAAAAAAATTGAAGTTGGCATAAGATACATACCAGATCATTGTTCCTCCCAACTGCACATTTGATATAAAATGAAAAAAATAATTAGGTTATGAAAATAACATAATTTAATTAGAAATATAATTTAATTAAACAAAATTTAGGAAAAAAAATACTAACGTGAAGAAGATTTCAAAGCACCACTTCCTTTCTCCTTGAGGAGTTGTTCAAAATGTGGCTTGCAAAATAATGTTCCATCCAAGCAAGAATAGTTGCTCAACTATATAATATAAATTTGAATTAACGAAAAGATCAAATAAAAATATACGATAATAACAATCAGGTAATAGTTGTGTCAACTATATTATATAAATTCGCACGAAAAGATCAAATAAAAATATACGATAATAACAGTCTGATGCACAAAGTAATTTTCAATCACATCAGATTAGAGAGAATGGTCATATCATAAGAGAGTGTTATTAATTACCATCACAGCGATACATTTTCTTTAGATAATTTCTATTCGAGTCGATCAATTCGATTTGTTAAAAAATGAATCTTCAAAAATAATCATAAAATACAGGAGATAACGTCTTAACTATATATAATACAAAGTATCATTTCATTCATCAAATCAAGTTAAATCGATCCACTTCGTTCAAAAATAAGTCTACAAAAATAAAACCATGAAATAAGAAAAATAATATACTAACTAACTATAACACAAACTATCATGTCATATATCATATCAATCGAGTCGATCAATCCAATTTGTCCACAAAAAAGGTCTTCAAGAAAATATAACACAAAGGAAATAATTTCCTAACTAACTATAACATAGACTATCATATCAATCAATCGATAGTCTTAAAAAAAACACAAAATTATAACAAAAGATATAACCTAACTAACTAAAACAAAAAACAATCATTCCATTTCTCATATCAGTCAACCAATCGATCAATTCGATTCGTTTAAAAACAAGACCTAAGTGTCATGACTATCAGTCAACCAATCGATCAATTCGATTCATTTAAAAACAAGACCTAAGTGTCATGACTAACTATAACACAAACTATCATTCCATTCATCATATTCGTCTGATCGATTGGTTTAAAAACAAGATATTAATATCCTAACTAACTATAACACAAACTATCATTCCATTCATCATATCAGTCGAATCAATCGATCAGATTCGTTCAAAAAATTAATGAAATAATTTTATTTTTTTTTAAAAAAAAAACTTACTGCAAGTCTTCCATTGCAATGGCTACATCTGAAACATGTATTATGATAATTAACACCACCTGCAGAAATCACTTCAGCAGCATACACAGTTTTATCACATGCTTTGCATTTTGTTTGGGTACCAAAACTTGACATTTTTTTTTTAATTTTTTAATTTTAATTTTGGGAATTGAGATTTGAGATCATTAATATAATTTATATATGAATGAATCTCTAATCCCCAAAGTTATAATGGAAAAAAAAAAGTTCATAGAATTAATTATGTACTAATGAACAATTAGTTGATTTATTCTTCTTTTTTAGTGGTTAGGAACCAATTTCTTAAAATGAATGGATAAGCTAAAATTCCCTAACATTAAGGACATAACACAAAAAATAAAGTAGTTATTTCAGTTGGGACAAAAAAAAAATTATTTTTAAAAATAAAAAAATGGAAAAATTTTAATAAATTGTGACTGATTTTTAATTTTTTGTCATTAAACAATTTTATTTGTGTTTAATCAGAGATAAGTTGTTTAGAAATTAAATTCATACCTGAGCATTATTTATGAAATATTATGATATAAAAATATACTTTCATACTATGTGACAAAATTATTTATTATAACGAACTAACATAAATTAAAGACCAACATAACATAGGGGCAGAAGTGCAAATCTACTTAAAAAAAAAAAGAGAAAGAGAAAACTCAATAATAAAAAATTTTTAACATCGAATCAAATCAACCGATAAAATAACATTCGACAGAATCAACATATAACATTGA